CATGGTGACCCTTTCCCGACCCGGCCTTCCCGCGAGGCACGGGCAGCCTCGGGTAAGTTGGCGTCCACCTCTCATCGAGGTCGGATGCCGGACCAGTTCGGTTCCTCTACCCTGATGCCAGAGAGGCTTCAAGACCTCGTCTCATGGTGACCCTTCCCCGGCCCGGCCTTCCCGCGAGGCACGGGCAGCCTCGGGTAAGTTGGCGTCCACCTCTCATCGAGGTCGGGTGCCGGACCAGTTCGGTCCCTCTACCCTGACGCCGGAGAGGCTTCAAGACCTCGTCCAGCAGTTCAACCTCCCTTCTGAATACTCCTACAGTATTCCCACTGGCAATTTCCCCTGGGAGCGCGGTCCGGACGAGATCGTGATCTTCAGAGAACAGCTCATCGATGGGCTTCGCCTCCCTCTTCACCCCCTTATTCCCAAGGTGTTGGGGCGTTTTAGTATCACGCTTGATCAGCTCCACCCCAATTCTATTCGGAATTTGGTGGGAACCATTTCCCTCTGCCACGAAAAGCAATTCTCCTTGGATACGGACATACTCTGCTCCATACTGCTGATAAAAAAGAGTGCCTCTAGCGCTCCCCCCGAGCACGGGCAGGTCTACTACTTGTCTCCTCGCCCAGGCTTTAAGCTACTGCATAAGTTCCCGAGCAAGGTCCCGGCTTGGAAGCGGGACTAGTTTGTGGTTCGGGCCAGCGGTCCTTCCTCACCAGCTGGAGGGTGGCTACTCCGGCTACCAGCATCGCCCTCAACCAGCAGACATGGGAGACCTTCCATTCATGGGCTCAGGCTGAGCTCGATCATCGGGAATACATCACCGAAGAGAAGCTCGCTCAGGCCGGTTTGAGCCCGGGTAGGTGTATTTCTGTCTTTTGGCGCTTCGCTTTTACCCGCTTGTTGTCTTTGGATTTACTGACGCCAACTTTGTTGTAGGCTCCATGGATGAGGAAGAGAGAATCACAGCCACCAGGCTCCTCAACCAAATGAAGAGGAGGAAGAAGCGGACAGCCAAGAAGGCCGCCAAAAAGGCCCATGTGGGGTCACCAAGGGCTCCCTCCCCTGAAC